TAGCTTTCTCGATGGCGGAAGACCTGTGCCTAGAAGAGCTAGCACTCCTGTGCTTCTCTTGGGGTCTGTGGTGAAAGGAGAGACTAACTTGAGTGCGTCTGACCTAATCTCCTATGATGCGGAAGGGCAATGCAGAGAGTGCTGTAGTTGGCTTGAGGAAACTAGCTAGGAGGTTATATGGCAAGGAGCTGCAGGTGTCTGCAATATCTGGTTAATGATTATCAAGAAAACAGGGACCCCATTCTTGTAAGTGTAAGAAGATTTCCCAGCCACCAGTGAATCAGTAATAGCAGCTTCAGATCCAAACAACAGCCAAGCCAGCATGCTACAGTCTGTCCTTCTGTCCTATAACAGCGTAAGGTTGTAAGTCTGCGCTGTTTCAGGACACTAAGTTTGTGGTGATTCATTGTGGGGCAATAGAAAGCTAATTCAGTTTCCAAACATCTCAATACAGAAATTAGAATCATTTGGCTGTCAGCCACAGAAATTGAGTTTGGGGTGGGGGTTGGGAGGAAGCAGGTTTTCTGGAACAGAACCCACAGTAGAAACAGAGCACAGGCAGCTTCTCTGATGAATCCAAGTAGGACAACCAACTTAGAGACTTTCCAGGCCTGATCCCATTTTTAAGACTTTATTTATTTTTGTTTGGTTTTATTTATTTATTTATTTTTATTTATTGAGATAGTCTTATACCCTGGGCTAGTCTCAGACTTACTCTGTAGCCAAGGATGATCATGAAATTGTAACCCAAGCGCTGGGGTTTCAGGCCTCTGACACTGTACACGGCCGCTCTTAAATTCTAAGTAAACAGGCCCTGGAAGGATGGCTCAGTGGTCAGGGGGAACTTACTGCTCTTCCACAGGGTTCCAGTTCCATTCTCAGCACCCATATCAAGCCACTCACCACAGCTACATCCAGCTTTAGGGGGTTAGCCTTGGGGGGAGTGGGGGTTCAATGCCTCTGGCTTCTTCAGTCAGGCACCCTGGAACACAAATACACCCCCTTCCCTCTACACACATATACACAAAGTTAAAGAAATATTTTTAAAATTCTAGAGAAACAGCAGTCTTACCTGACAGCCTCATCAAAACGATAAAAAGATGGGGCTGGGATGGGACTCAGTGGAGTGCTTGAATAACATAGGAAAGCCCTGGGCTTGAGTCACGCTCTCTGCCCACCATAAATAAGAATGGCGGCACACCCAGGGATTTGGGAAATAGGAATATTTAAGGTTATCTTCAGCTACATGGTAAGTTACGAACTAGCCTGGGCTACTGACAAAAAAAAATGATTATAGAGTAGTGCGTGGTGGCAGAGGCAGGTGGATCTCTGAGTTTGAGGCAGCCTGGTCTTTAGAATGAGTTCCAGGATAGCCAGGGCTATACACAGAAAATTTTTATTTATAGATATTTATAAAATTCATAAAATTATTCATAAATTTATAAACTATTTCTAAAAATTTATAAATATACAATTATTTATACATAATACATTTAGAAAGAAAGAAAGAAAGAAAGAACTAGTGATTAATTAGGGAAATGTTTTGACCTGCTATTGCTGGTCTCCCTCAGCAATAGCTGGGGTCAGTATGTTAGGGTAGGTGCTGGAGAGGCCTCTTGGCTAGAGAAGCTTCAGGAGGGGGTGGTTGCCTCTGGAACACCAGGACAGATGAGCCTTGGTGTGTGAGAACTCTGAGTTCCCCATCTTCCAGGCAGCATATGACAGCACCTCACTGTACTTTATCCATAATGGATACTAATTTGGCTTATCCATAATGGCCAACATCTTTTTATGTATTTACTGGGCATTCGTAGACCTTCTTTTAGGAACTGCATTTAAACCTTCTGCCTGTGTCTTTAGAGAGTTGGTTATCTGTCGAAGAGTTGTGTTAGCGCATACCTTTCTTTTTTTATGGCTCGCTCCCATTCTTTCCTGACGGCATCCTCAGTGCACAGTTTTGATGAAACCCGGTTGATCGTTGTATTTTTGATGAGCTGTGCTTTCCTGCTCTGTTTCAGAGCTCACTCACCCACGTTTCATTCCAGAAATGTTACTGTTTTGTTTACATCTATGAAACATTTCAGGTAACTTTTGGTACAGCATGAAATAGGAACAGGGTATTTTCCCTCATAGACAATAATCTATCATTTGTCCTACTGGATCTTTCTTTTACCCTTATCTAAAGTCTCTTACCCAAGTACTAGCCAGGCCGGATGCTGCTTAGCTTGTGAGATCAAACAAGATGGGGCACACTCAGGGTGGTAGAGATTATACTGTATGGTTAGTATGCTCACTCACAATGTGGGCTATCCAGCAGAGTTATTTCACGTCTCTTAATGCTTTATTTGTTTTAGCATTGTTATATCTTGAAGTAGAATCTCTGTGTGACAAATTCACTATTTGCATGTGTGTACTTCAACGGTCTTTAGCATATTCAATTTGCTGGTACAAAATCTTCTAATTCTAAAGCATTCCATCATCCCCTACAGAAACCTCACACCAATCAGCAGCTAGTGCAGTTGCCTGCTGCCCTTGGTTCCTGGCAACCCTTGATCCACTTTCTCTCCGGTCTTGCCTTTCTGGCTATTTTATAGAAATAGAGTCATACAATAAGTGGCTTTCTAAGTCTTGTTTCTTTTACTCATGCTTGCGGCAGTAGGATCTAGCAGTTCTTCAAGTCTTTTCATGGCTGTTATATTCCATTGTTTGAACCCACCACGACCGCTTGTCCGTTCCTCGGCTGTGGCGAATTGCTTCCAGTCTGGGGCCATTATCCATTAGGCTGTCGGGAGCATTTCTGTACATGCTTCTGTGAGAGCATATGTTTTCGATTCTGTTGAGTATTTACTTAGTTGAGTTTCTGGGCATGTGGAAACTCTGTTTAACATTTTAAGAAACTGTCAAATTGCTTGGCGCAAGGCCCTGTCCTTTCACGTCTGCAGGGGCACCAGTTTCCTCACATCCTCGCTGGTCCTCCTCAGCACGGAGTCACCGTTTACTCTGTGTTATCTTCGTTGGGCTGCTTTGTGGGTTTGACTTGTGTTTCCCTAGTGACTAACACACTTCGAGGCTTTCGTGTGCTTGTTGACCATTTGTTTATCTTCTTTGGAGAAATGTCAATTTAAATCTTCGCTAATTTTTACTTTTTTTATCCTATTAAACTGTAGAAGTACCTATACATTCTGAATACTGGACCAAAACCAGTACATAATCTGCAAATATTTTCACTCACTCATTTTGTGGAATATTTAAAAATTTTTCTTCCTACTTTTTTTTGAGGCATAAAACTTTTAAAATTTGATGGTGTTCAATTTATGTATGTTGGTGTTGCTTGCTTGTGCCTTCTGTGGTCTAACACATTTTAAGTTTTTCATATAAACTCTGGAATCAGTTTCTCTTAAGAATTTGTTAACATATTTTTAGCATGTATTTGTGGGGGTGTGTGTATATGTGTGATGTGTCTGTGTGTGGTGTGTGTGTATATGTGTGGTATACATATGTATGGGGTGTGTGTATGTTTGGTGTATGCATGTGTGTATTTGTATTGTGTGTGTATGTGTGTGTATGGGTGGTGTGTACATGTATGTATGTATGTGTTTGGTGTATGTGTGTATGGTGTAAGTATGTGTGTGGGATATGTGTGTTTGGTGTGTGTATGGTGTGTGTATGTATATGTGATGTGTGTATGTATGTATGTATGTGGTGTTTGTGTGTATGATGTATATATGTTTGTGTGATATGTGCGTATGGTGTGTGTGTGTAGCTCAGAGGACATCTTACAAGGGAAGGTTTTTGTCTACCATGTGGGCTCTGGGGATGGAATTCAGGCTGTCAGGCATGACAGAGAGTGACTGAGCCAGTTCTCTGCCTCCAGATTTGATATTGTCTTTCCATTTAGAAGACTGGTGGACTGAAAAGTAACTGTGCACTTCCTCCTCCTCCTCTTCTTCTTCTTCTTCTTCTTCTTCTTCTTCTTCTTCTTCTTCTTCTTCTTCTTCTTCTTCTTCTTTTGGTTTTTTGAGATAGGGTTTCTCTGTATAGCCCTGGCTGTCCTGGAACTCACTCTGTAGACCAGGTTGGCCTCGAACTCAGAAATCTGCCTGCCTCTGCCTCCCAAGTGCTGGGATTAAAGGCATGCACCCCGCAACTGTGCACTTCTTAAGAGAATTTTGATTTTTTCGATCAAAGAAAAAAGATGTACCTTCCCATTTACACAGTCCTTTCCAGGTCTCAGTCTTGTCTCGAAGCTTGTTTTACACTCATCTTTCAGTTCATCATTATGCTTATTTCTAAGGGTTTTTTTTTTATTATTTTGTTTTGAGACAGTCTTACCACACAGCTCCAGTTGACCTAGTCCAGTCTGACCTCAAACTCACAATCCTCCTGCCTTCACCACATGAGTGCTAAGATTTACACGCAGGGAATCTATGCCTGACTGTTATCTTTTTCTTACTGTAAATGACTCCAAGGGAGAAATATTAACAATTAGCAAAAGCATTTGACCTAGGTTTGGTGGTACATGCCTGTAATCCTGACCGTTGGGAAGCTGAGGAGGGAGAACCGTGAGTTCAAGACCAGCCTGGACTGAATAGTGAACTCTGGTCTAGGGGAAGAAGAATTTTGAAAGCGATGTGAGTTATAGCAGCTCACACTATTTATGGTCTGGATTGAGGGCAAGTTCAGAACTACACCTCAAATATCCTCCTTTCTTTATGCTTTACATTAAGAAGCCTGGTGCCTGTAGACACTGACTGCTTCATGCAGAACCACACAGCAACTTAGATATGTCTGGGGTTCGACTCAGCCATCGGGAGTCACGTACAAATTAGTCAAGAATTAGAAAAAAAATAAAGTACATTAAACTACACTCAAATTGAAGAAAAAGCAAAATTCGGACAGATACACATTCTTGACACCCCAAACCTCCAAACCTTCAGAACTTCCTGCCTGTGAGTCGGAAGGGGGAGTGTGAGTGTCTTGGCGTTGCTAGCAGGTGCTGTCTCAGAGACCCACAGTCCTCCACTTCCTGGGGTGTCAGCCACAGAACAAAGCCAGCAGAGACTCCTTCAGCACCTCCCTTTCTCCTCGTCCACCCAGGCATAGCTGCCTCTGCCTCTGGGCAACATCCCTGGGCAGCAGAAGATGAAGTGGAAATCGTCTGTTCTTGCCTGCATCCTTCACGCGCAGTTCCCAGGAGCAGGTAAGGGTTCTGTTTCTCGTAGCTTGACACTTTTAGAGGCTCTTTGTGTGTCTGAGTGGTGGCTGAGGGGTGCCAAGGACCTGGTGTTTCTTTTAAAGCTTGTCTTCCCAAAGTTAATGGGCAGAGGGGCTGCACAGGCGCAGGTCCCACCCAGGCGTCTGCTCCATGATAGCCAAGCTGGGTATTGTTTCAGGGCCAGCTGTTTGAAAACACAGTTGTAGCTTGTCCAGTGATAAAGAAAAAAGTCTGTGAAGGGAAAGGGTGAGGAGACATGCAGCAAGAGAACAACTGAGACAGCTCTGCGCAGACAGGGAAGCTGTACAGGATCAGAAACTCCAACTAGGCCTCGCTCTGTTCTGGTTTCCAGATATCATGTCTCCTTCCTTCCCTCTCTGGTTGGCATTCCCGCTCAACCCTGTTCTTTCCTTCCTCGCCAACAAAAGACATTACAATGGTCAGTAGGAAAGGGTCACAGCCTATGACCTTGGGTGGCCTGAAATACCGGGTAGAGGTAGAGCCACTACAAGAGGACTCACCGAGGGAGGGAAGTGGCTTACGGAGGAGGCATCCATGTTTGCGGCCTTTTGCAAGGCTCATTGCCACCTTCTGGCCCAGAGCATTTAAGTCTAAGCTCACCCTGTCAATGCTGTCCACGGCCACCAGCTGCCCTATGACATACCAATCTTCTGTGATATACTCACACGGCTTTCTATCTAAGCCAACACGGACACGGACAGAAATGTTAGCAACAGGTTAAAGAATATGTGTTAATACGTCACAATCACGAGTCACAATCAGCACAGAAGACAATTTGCGCCAGTGCTCACTGGGTCCCTTGGAGGCCTGGCATGCTTCCTTGTTCAGCAAGCGAACAGAAAACAAGAGAGACCACTCACAAGATTGGCGTCATGGCCAGTTTACAAGAAACAGGACACTCTGTATTTGAATCTAGAGCGACAAGGATGATAGCTGTAAGGGGTACTCTTCCCCCAATTTAGAGCTCTCCTGGCAGTGGCAGCTTGTTGGGTGACAAGGCTGAGAGGGCAGGAACAGCCAACACATGATTGTTAGCACCAGGAAACTGCACAGTCCTGGGCTAGCATCACGGGGGTTCTGAGGACTCAGTAATAGGCTTTTCTGTACGATCATAGTGCTTTTCTCAGAAAGGGCCGGGCAGGTATGACTCACACAGTGCTGTAGAGTAATAGCCCCTGAGGGAGCCTATAGCAGCCCTTACTCACAGGCAGGTGCAAAAACATTTTCACAGCCAGAGAAGTTCACAGACTAAAGGAGCAGCCACTGCAGGCAATAGCTCTGGACTCAGGACTCTAGGCTCTCAAAAGATGGAGAGAGGAGATTGCTGAACCGCTCTCTCCACCTTTATCTGCTCTTCACTGGTCTGTGAGCGGCAAGCTTTGAAGCTCACAGAAAGCTAAAGCAGGTTATGGAGAGAAACAAACGGTTGGCAGTAAACAAAACCCCACCCAGAGGGCACAAAGCCTGTGGTCTTTTCCACCCCAACATGAAAAGGCCTAAGCCCTTCCCATTTATATTTCTTAGAGACACAGGGGACTAAGCTAGTGTTGAACTCATCGGTCCACCAAGTCCAACAAGACCATTTCGAGGGCCAGAGGAGGTGGGGAGAAGATGGAGTTTCTGGGAGCCACAGAACACGCCTGACTGCCAACTCTCAGCTTCTTACTACTTCTAACTGCCCCAGCATGGCAAAGATTGAAACCAGAGGTCACTATAGCCTGTGAGAAAATGCACCTCTAGTGTGAAGCCTCGGGTTTATGAGAAGCTCTGCTTCGCAGGAAGGCAGCAGGCAGCGGCATGTTAATCATAACCTTTCCTAGTAGCAGGTCCCTGAGCAGCCCACTGGATCTCAGTAGTCCTGGGTTTTGTTAGATCTCCTCTAAAGCAAAGATTCTATTGGCCTCTTCGCAGAGATGTGACGGCAAGGAGTGAATGTAATATTTCATATATAAAAATATACACACATGCATGTGTGTATCTATATATCTGTATGTGCAAACATACGTACGCACAAATGAAGGACAATCAATAAACAAAAATTGCACTAATTATTAGATACAGGAGATGGAAACCTATGGCTGAGATTCTTAACTTATAAAGCAGCAATGGGCATCTTCTCTTGATAGCATACAATTTGTCCCTCCTCTGGATTCTGGGCACACCCACACCAACACAGAAATCCAGGGGCAGGTGCGACAAATATGGGTCAAAACTTGGGATGTACACAGGATGAACACTGCACCCACTACTTCAACCTCTTAAACATACCATGCAGGAAAATGTTCCCTCACAGTGAAAAGAAGTCTGAAGGTGTAACATACATACAGAAGACTGGGAAAATTCAAAGCAAAATACATGATCATGGTGGCCACCCAGGTGTGCTGGCACGTAGGGCTTTATTTACAGATACCTTAAACACCAAATCTCGGTTGAAGCTTTGGAAGTAGAGTTGTGAGGACCATAAGTGACAGACATGTGGCTGTGTTTCTCGGGTGTTGTCTTCACCCTCTGCTTTGTTTTGTCCTTCAGTACCTGGCTGTTTCCAAGCCTTATGGTTCTTTTTCCTACTTCAGCCCTGCTCAGACTTGACAAACTACAGACTGCCTCTGTTGTTTTATTTACAAAAAAAAACAAAAAACAAAAAAACACCCCCACCAACAGCCCCAAGGTTTGTTAGCAGGCTAGATTTCTTACTCCGCTCTGTGCGTTTGGCATTGTTAGTTTTGCTTTTGTTTTTTGAAAAATAAGACTAATTGGGCATGGTGGCACACATCTTGGATAGCAGCATTTGGGCGGAAAAAGCAGGTAGGTCTCTGTGAGTTCAAGGCCAGCCTGGTTTACATAGTGAGTTCTAAGTCAGCCTAGGCTACATAGTGAGATGCTATATTAAAAAAAAAATAAGATTTAAGTTTTAAAAATATACATCTTTTCTTTCAAAAGTCACCTAATATGTTTCTTGTATTTTATTAAGAAGGTTCTGGGCTCCACAGAGAATTGTCTTAGGTTCAATAAGAATAGGCACACAATTTGAGAACATCCCCTACCCCTGGTTTTTTATCTATGGTCAGTTAATTGATCAAATAAATACCAGAAATAGTTCAGGATAGTTGTTTTTGTTTTTGTTTTCTTCTGCACGAGACAAAGCAGCTGCTTCTTTACAACACAGTGACAGAGGATGTAATCGACTGGATTAACTATCCAGTTATCCTGATAGAAAACATTAAACTGGTCATTTGACCTGTTGGCTGATCCATCTCATTTCTCAGTTTTTCACTCTGTGTGGACAGTGACCACATTCTCCAGAGAAAGAAATGCCCCTGGCTGCTCTCAGTCACACCCCTGGTGCTCAGCACAGTATTCAGACCAGAGTCAACGCATGATACATATTCCAGTGTTTGTCGAACGAATTAAAAGGTGACCAAGTAAAGGAAATCTAGAAGTTTCCACACGACTCATGTCAATGATTTATTAGATGGCCTATCCTTTAAACGACTTAATAGTAAATGGTGAATGTCAAAAACAAAACTAAATTTAAAAAATCAGCGATCAGGAGGTCAACCGTGAATAGAATACTTCAGTGTGAATTACAAAGTTAAAGATTCAAAAAGGCAGTTACTAAAATGTTCTTGCTCAATCATATGAAATTCTACTATTAATTTTTGCGTGTTCTGCATTAGGGGGTCCTAGAAGCACCATGTGCATGTATGTTGGGCAAACATTCTGTCACTGAGCTATTTCCCCAGCACTTCCCTTTTTAAAATTTTATCAAGATCTCTCCAAATTTTCCAGTCTGTTGAGCTTGACTCATTTTATAGTTGAGGCTGTCCTTGAACCTGCAGTATTGTTACCTTTGCCTCCTGGTAGCTGTGGTTTGTGCTGTGAAACCCAGCTGTTTATTTTGGACCTTGAGAAAAGATCATTTCAAATGACTAAACTAACATTTATATCTTAAAACTAAACAAAAATGTACTGTTTTCATTTTCTGCTTTTTCTCCAGTGCTGGGGAAAAGACCATCATTATTGGAGACTGGTTAATGAGCTAATAAAATGAAAGTATCGGTCAGGAATAGAAGATTCTGTGGCTTCTAGCATGAATCATAGTCCAGTGTGACTTTCATGTTTGATATTCATGACCAGTTTGCAAATACATGCATCATGCTTTTTCCAGTATTTCCTTATCTGTGGACATTTAGGTTATTGCTAGTGCTTGTTGATACAGATAATTTTCAGGAAAATATACATGTAATGGGGGGGCATGCAAATTCAAGACTGGCAATTAAAAGAACAGGTCAAAACAAAAGAACGACTCACAGGGGACTCCAGACTCCAATTGAGAATGGTCCTGTTGGGGAAAGAATGTGTCTGTTCGTGACCATCTACAAATGTTCGTGTCCTTCTGGAGTATGCCGTGTGGAGAGAGAGAGAGAGAGAGAGAGAGAGAGAGAGAGAGAGAGAGAG